TTGGTTACTTCCTCAAAAAAAACTCAATCAAGTTTGTGAGACACGATTTACCTTGTACAAAACAATGCTGACTATCCCTAATCATTCCTTGCCTCTCCAAATGCGTATAAATCCTATCTTTCAGAATCACTTCCAACAACTTACCCTACACTAAATTCAGACTCTCAGGTCTGTTGTTCCCAGGCTTCTCTTTACATCCCCGTTGAAACAAATGCACAACGTTAGCTACTCTCCAGTCATTTAATACCTCACCAGTATTTATAGGTGATACAAATATTTTTGCAAGAGGCCTGCAATTTCCTTCCCAACTTTCTACAATCTCCTCGGATATACTAGCTAAGGTCCCAGAGAATTGTCCAACTTTAAATCTTTTAAGACCTCCAGCACTTCCTCTTCTCGAATGTAAGCTGTTTTCAAAACATCAATATTTATTTCCCTGTGTTCTCTAGCCTCCCTTTCTTTCTCCACAGTAAAAACTGACACAAAATATTCTTTTAGTATCTCTCCCATCTCCTGAGGTTAAAGAAAAAGGTGGCCACTTTCACCTTTATGGGGCTCAACTCTCTCGCTAGTTGCTCTATTGCTCCAAATGCACTTGTAGCGTCCCTTTGGATTATCCTTAATTTTATTTGCCAGGACTATCTCATATCCTCTGTTTGCCTTCCTGATCTCCCTCTTAGGAATGCCCCTATACTCTTTATACTGTTCAAGAGATTCACTTGAACCCACTTGCTTATATCTAATATGTGATTCCTTTTCTTATTTTTATATGACAAGCCCTTCATCACTGCAATCAATCTTGTAAACCTCCTCTGGACCACTCTAACACCAGCGCATCTTTCCTTTATACAGGGCCCAAAACTACTCTCAATATTCCAGTCTGACCAGAGCCTTTTTAGCCTCGGGAGTACATTTCAGCTCTGGTTTTCTAGCTGTTGTCAAATGAATGTCTACATTGCATCTGCCTTCCTAACCACAAACTGAACCTGCATGTTAACCTGAAGTCAATCCTGAACTAGAACTCACAAGTCCGCTTCGACGTCAAATTTCTGAAGGTTTTCCCCATTCAGGAAATAGTCTATGCCCCTACTCTTCTGACCAAAATGTATAACTTCACACTTTCCTACACTATATTCCACCTGCCACTTCTTTGCACACTCTCCTAGCCTGTCCAAGTCATTCTGAAGACTTCCCACTTCCTCGACACCGCTGCTGATGCCGCCGCCTCCGTTTCCGAGGCCAACACCACAGACATCAAAGACGCACCTGCTGACACCGCAGCCAACATCCAGGACTTACCGACTGACTCTGCTCCTCCCACCGCCTACCCTGCTCCGCCCACCGCCGACGTCGCTCCGCCCACTGCTGACGTCCCACAGCCCACTGCCGACGTCACTCCGCCAACGCCGCACGGCCCACCGCCGACATCGCTCCGCCCACCACCTCCACAGCCAGCAGCTCCAGAAGAGACAATAGCACCCAGACCTGCTGGGTCTTCACCATCCCCCCAGACCTCCCCCTTACTGAGGACGAACGGTCAGTCCTCAGTAAAGGGCTCACTTTTATCCCCCTCCACCCGAACGTCAACGAATACCGCTCACACTTGGACGTTGAACAGTTTTTCTGCCGCGTTCGCCTCTGCGCTTACTTCTTCAATCGTGAGCCGAACCCTCCCTCTACAGACCCCTTCTCCTGCCTCCAACACACCCCCTCCTCCTGGACACCACCCCAAGGCCTCCTACCCTCCCTCAACCTCTCCACCCCTCTCACCAACTCCAACCTCTCCCCCACAGAACGTGCATCCTCCGCTCCAATCCCAACCTCACCATAAAACCCGCGGACAAGGGAGGCGCAGTTGTAGTATGGCGCACTGACCTTTACATTGCCAAGGCCAGACGCCAGCTCTCTGACACCTCCTCCTACCGCCCCCTTGATCATGACCCCACCCCCGACAACCAAAACATCATCTCCCAAACCATCCACAACCTCATCATTTCAGGTGACCTCCCACCCACAGCCTCCAACCTCATCGTTCCCCAATCCCACACCGCCCGTTTCTATCTCCTTCCCAAAATCCACAAACCTGACTGCCCTGGTCGACCCATTGTCTCCGCCTGCTCCTGCCCCACCGAACTTACCTCTACTTATCTTGACTCCATTTTCTCCCCCTTGGTCCAGCAACTCGCCACCTACGTCCATGACAACACCCACGCCCTCCACCTCCTCCAAAACTTCCGATTCCCTGGTCCCTAACACCTCATCTTTACCATAGACGTCCAGTCCCTATACACCTGCATTCCCCGTGCCGAATGCCCTAAAGGCCCTGGCTTCTTCCTGTCCCGCAGGCCCGACCAGTCCCCCTCCACTGACACCCTCATCCGCTTAGCTGAACTCGTCCTCACCCTTAACAGCTTCTCTTTCAATTCCTCCCACTTCCTACAGACAAAGGGGGTGGCCATGGGTACCCGCATGGGCCCAAGCTATGCCTGCCTCTTTGTAGGTTACGTGGAACAATCCCTCTTCCGTAGCTACACTGGCCCTAAACCCCACCTCTTCTTCCGTTACATCGATGACTGTATCGGCACCGCCTCGTGCTCCCACGAGGAGCTCGAACAGTTCATCCACTTCACCAACACCTTCCACCCCAACCTGAAGTTCAACTGGACCATCTCTGATACCTCTCTCTCCTTCCTGGACCTCTCTGTTTCCATCTCTGGCAACCACCTGGAAACTGATATCCATTTCAAGCCTACCGACTCTCACAGCTACCTAGAATACACCTCCTCCCACCCACCTTCCTGCAAAAAGGCTATCCCCCATTCCCAATTCCTTTGCCTCCGCTGCATCTGCTCCCAGGATGAGAGGCATTCCACTCCCGAACATCTCAGATGTCCTCGTTTTTCAAGGACCGCAACTCCCCCCCTCGGTGGTCGAGAATGCCCTCGACCGTGTCTCCCGCATTTCCCGCAACTCATCCCTCACACCCCCTCCCCGCAATAACAACCAAATCAGAATACCCCTCATCCTCACGTACTACCCCACCAAACTCCGGATCCAACGCATCATCCTCCAACACTTCCGCCATCTGCAATCCGACCCCACCACCAAAGGCATTTTTCCCTCCCCACCCTTATCTGCTTTCTGGAGGGACCACTCTCTCCGTGACTCCCTTGTCCACCCCACATTCCCCTCCAGCCCCACCAGACCCGGCACTTTTCCTTGCAACCGCAGGAAGTGCTACACCTGCCCCGACACCTCCCCCCTCATCCCCATCCCAGGCCCCAAGAAGACTTCCATATCAAGCAGATGTTCACCTGCACATCTGCTAATGTGGTATACTGTATCCGCTGTTCCAGATATGGCCTCCTCTACATCGGGGAAACCAAGCAGAGGCTTGGGGACCGCTTTGCGGAACATCCACGCTGGGTTCGCAACAGACAACTGCACCTCCCAGTCGCGAACCATTTCAACTCCCCCTCCCATTCCTTAGACGACATGTCCATCCTGACCTCCTGCAGTGCCACAATGATGCCACCCGAAGGTTGCAGGAACAGCACCTCATATTTCGCTTAAGAACCCTGCAGCCCAATGGTGTCAATGTGGACTTCACAAGCTTCAAAATTTCCCCTCTCCCAACCGCATCCCAAAACCAGCCCAGCTTGTCCCCGCCTCCCTAACCTGTCCTTCCTCACACCTATCGCCTCCTCCCACCTCAAGCCCCACCCCCATCTCCTACCTACTAGCCTCATCCCACACTCTTGACCTGTCCGTCCTCCCTGGACTGAGCTATCCCCTCCCTAACTCCCCACCTACACTCACCTTTACTGGCTCCACCCCTGCCACTTTGACCTGTCTGTCTCCTCTCCACCTATCTTCTCCTTTATCCATCTTCAATCCGCCTCCCCCTCTCTCCCTATTTACTTCAGAATCCCGTTCCCCTCCCCCATTGCTAAAGAAGGGTCTAGGCCCGAAATGTCAGCTTTCTTGCTCCTCTAATGCTAATAGTCCTGCTGTGTTCATCCAGCTCTACACCTTGTATCCTCAATACAACCTGTCCCTTCACTTATCATTATGTCATCTGCAAAAGTAGAAACAATGCCCTCAAATCCTTTGTCCAGATCATTAATGCATAACATTAATAGTTGTAGTACCAACACTGACCCTTGCCAAACTCCACTAGTCATTGGGCTGTCATCCTGAAAAAACACCTCTTTCCAACTATCTGCCTTGTGCCAGTCATTCAATCCTCAATCCATGCCAGTACGTTGTCCCGAACACCATAGACTCTTATCTTATTTAGCAGCTTCCTGTACAGCATGTTGTCAAAGGCCTTCTGGAAATCCAACAGATCACATCCACTGGCTCTCCTTTGTCCAAGTTGCTCAGTACCTCCTCAAAGAATTCTAACTGATTTGTCAGGCATGATCCTCCCTTGACAAAGCCATGCTGACTCTTCCAAGTAGTCTGTGATCACACCCTTACAATGACCTGCCACACTGTGTTTACCAAAAAGCTAACTTATTTGAATTTTATCCAGAATATTAAAACTTTGCTTTCAGTCCTCAATGTGATGAACAGCAAAGTCCAATCGCCATTGAGATGTGTGAATTCTGTGCTGCCTCAGCAGGATCAACAAGTGAGTGAATTCCTTCCCCCACATGAAGTAGATGAACGGTCTGTCCCCCGGTGGGATCTCTGCTGTCTCAGCAAGGTCGATGAGAGAGCTGAGATAACAAGGTTTAGAGCTGGATGAACACAGCAGGCCAAGCAGCATCAGAGGAGCAGGAAGGCTGACGTTTCGGGCCTGGACCCTTCTTCAGAAATCGATGAGAGAGCTAACTGTTTTCCTCACATGGAGCAGGTAAATGTTTTCTCGCCTGTGTGAACTCACTGGTGGACTGAGAGTTGAGATGATCGCTTGAACCCAGTCCCATAATGAAAGCACCTGAAATGTCTCTAATCATATGAAATTGTTGATGAGACATCAGTTCCACAGAACTTCAACAGCACTTCCCACAGACTAGACATTTGAAAAGTCTCTCTTCAATGTGAACATGTTGATGATAAAACAGTCCCCAGGAACTTGTATAGTGATTCCCACATTCTGAGCATTTGAAAGGTCTCTCCTCAGCGTGAACACGTTGATGAGACTTCAGTTCTACAGAATTGCTAAAGCACTTCTCACAGTCTGAACATTTGAAAGGTCTCTCCTCAGTGTGAATACGTTGATGACAATTCAGTCCCCAAGAGCTTCTGTAGCACTTCCTGCAGTCCGGGCATTTGAAAAATCTCTCCGCAGTGTGAACTTGCTGGTGTCTCTCCAAGATGGACGACCGAGTGAATCCCCTCCCACACTCAGGGCAGCTGAACGGTCTCTTCCCAGTGTGAACCTGCTGGTGCTCTGTGAAGTCAGATGATCGCTCGAACCCAGTCCCACAGAGAGAGCACCTGAATGGCCTCTCCTCAGAGTGAACACGTTGGTGGGATATCAGGTCTCTTGAGGTTTTGGAGCATTTCCCACAGGCTGGACATTTAAAGGTTTGTCATTAATGTGAGCAAATTGATGGGACATCAGGTCCCTGGGACTTTTAAAGTACATCCCATAGTTTGGGCATTTAAAAGGTGTGTCCTCTCTGTGAGCACTTTGATGGGCCATCAGGTCCCCAGAATTTTTATAGCATTTTCCACTACCTTGGCATTTAAATTGTCTGTCATTGATGTGAGCTAGTTGATGGGACATTGGGTCCCTGGATGTTTTATAGCATTTTCCACAGACTTGGCATTGAAATGGTCTCTCCTCAATGTGAATGAGCTGGTGTTGCAGAAGTTAGATGACTGAGTAAATCCGTTCCCACACGCTAAACAGGTGAATGGCCTATTACTGGTACGACTGTGTAGATGAGTTTCGAGCTCAGATAGGCAAATGAATTCCTCCCCATAATCATCACATTTCCACAGTTTCCCCACAGTGTGACTGCATTTGTGGTTTGTGAGCTCTGAGCGCTGAAGCCTTACCCACACTCACAACACATGTACGGTTCCTCTCCACTGTGAACGTAGCTTTTTCACTCTGTGTTCAAAATCTGATCATTTTCCACTTTGTGATAAATGGGTGACTCCATTAGATCATGGTGTGATGGTTGGTTTGTAAATCTTTCCCTTCTAATATCCTGTGAAATTGACGTCAAACAAAAAAACAAGGGAATGAGGGAGTATCTCTCTCACAAGACTGTGGCTTCTGTGTGAAGGTAGGGACTGAAGGAGAGGGATTTTAGACACCTATAACTTGACCAGAACTTTATCAGATTCTTCCGAACACTCAGCCTCCACCGACAAGAAGGACCAGGGTAACAGGTGGATGTGAACACCATCACCTCCAAGTTCCCTCCAGGTCACACACTGTTCTGGTGAAGTAGAAATTTGCTCCAATTAAATCAGTGCAAAACTGAGGCCCTTGTCTCCAATACAAACTCCACTGCTCACAACTGACTCCAACCCCTGCCTGGCAATTGCCTGAGTCTGAAACAACCACATCATAACCCAGAGATTTCACCCAGAGATGAGTTTTCAACCACATATCCCCACCATCACCAAGACTGCCCACTTCCACCTCAGTAACATCACTAGACTCCTCCTCGTCTCTGCTCATGTGCTGTTGAAACTCTCATCCATTCCTTTGCTACCTGTGGACTTAACTATCCTTACGCACTCCCACTGTTCTCTCACATTCTTCTAGCTGCACTTGGCTAACTTCCTCTGTTTCTATTAATGGGTGTACTTGAACTCTGTTTAATGTTTTATTGTTCCTTCTTTTGACTATTTGAATGAGATTTTTACCACTGCCCATTCTTCCAACCACGTGCTGCTGCCTTAGCAGCTTTATCTTCCCATGCAAGCTCCCACAATGCTGTAAGGGAATGAGTTACAGGTTATTCACCAAGTGATGTAATTCTGAGGTCATCCAAAACTCTGTTGCTCACCTGAGTATTCACACCAAGTTTTGTTCGCCCATCACTCTATGCTCGCTCAGCCAAATTTTAAACTTTTCATCTGTCTATCCAAATCTCTTGATAGTCTCCTTCTATTTATCTCTAATGCCCTCCAGCCTCCAGCCTCTTAAGGGCAATTAGGGCTGGCCGGTAAATGCTAGTCCAGCCAACAATACCCACCATCCCAAAAATGAATCTTTAAAAATGCCCTTCGAGATATTTGCATTACTCCAACTCCAACTTCCTGAGCATTCTCGATTTTAACTTTTCTGCATTTGGTGCCCTGAGCCTTTAACTACCAAGGCCACAAGCTGTGAAATTTCCTCATTAAACCCCTCCCTCTCTCGACCTCTCTTTTACACTTCAAAGTATTCCTTGAAAATAACATATGTGATCATAAAGCATTTTGTCACCTCCCTAATATCTCGGTATGTGACTGGGATCAAAAGTTACATTACAACCCTCCCAAGGAACAGCTTGGAAGCTTCCATTTTGTGAAAGGTGCTATATTGATATATGTTGTCACTGATTTGGACACATATCACAGTCCCTTCATCATCACTTGGTGAACAACTCCTTACCTAATAGCATTGTGGGAGCTACTAAGGGAAGATAATTGCCAGCAGCAAATGGTCAGACAATGTTCAGCTGTAAAAACCTCATTTAGAGAGTCAATGGAATAACAATAAAATGCCTGAGACAGTTACACCCATTATTGGAGACACAGGAAGTTAGACAATGACAGAGAATTATCAGGGAGAGCAGAGATGAAACAAAGTAACGGATGGACATTGATTCACATCCACAGTAATGGGGTCGCACTAGCTCCAGAGCTAGACAACTGAGAACAGCACTAGAAGCTGAATTGTGTAGGTTACTGGTTAAAAATACTAAAATTATTTCATTGCTTTCAACTTTAAAATCAAACGCTAGAGTCTACAGCTCAAAAGATATCAGAAGCACTGGGGTCAGAGGAAACTCTCACAGTTCAGGAAATACCCGGGAATGAGGGTGATATTACTGAGCAATTGCCTGTGTTTGATAACATCACCATATGAACATTTGGGTCTGTACGAACCAGTTATCACCACAAAGGATGTGAGGGTCTGTGGTAATATTTAAAAGGAGATTTATCAGAATGGTTCAAGAAACAAGGGATATTAGTTGTAAGGTCAGTTTGAAGGAACTGAAGTTTGTTCTGCAGAGAGCACAGGAGATTGAGGTGAGATTTGATAAAGATGTCTAGTTTAATGATAGGTTTAGATAAGGTAGAAAAAGAGTTGCGATTCTCATTAGCTGATAGTAAAAGTGTTAGGGACACAGATTTAAGAAATTGGGCAAGAGTTACTGGAAAAAGTAAGGAAGGAATCTTGTTACTTTTGTTTTACTCAATACTTCCTTTCAAAGGCCAATAATATCCAGTGCTGAATGAATAATGAATAAAGTGGCATGCTCGGATCCTGGTATGTTATTTGGTTTGAGTTTTCGATCTGTAAATCCTCCTCTAACATGCTGTAAAATAAGTTTCCAAAAGCCAGCTCAGTCAGTCAGGGACAGAAATTCAGATGAGACAACAGAAATAGTTATTTGGAGCTTCCTGTGTGTATATATTCCCCTCCTCATTCCCTGTAACAGCAGTTTATAAACTCCATCCCTGTCAGTCCAGGAGACACATTCACGACATTCTCTCCCCGGCCCAGGATGACTGCACATTTGCCTCCTAGAAAGATGGCCGCCATTACCCGGGGCCTGTCACAGAGGGAGCCTCAATTTGTGGAGCTGAAGGAACACAGCAGACCAAGCAGCATCAGAGGAGCAGGAAAGTTGACGTTTCAGGTCGGGACCCTTCTTCAGAAAAATCATTTTTCCAGCACCACACTGTGTTGTCTCTGACTCTAGCATCTGCAGTTCTTGCTATCTCCGACCCTCAATTTGTCCCATTTTATGAAACAAGGAAAGATCGTTTCTTTATACAGGGTCTGTCACATCCACAAAGTCTTTACGACGCCTCTCTGTCTGACCACTCCGTTCCATCGCCTCCTCCACTCTGCCTTATTGTTACCTTTTGTGCAGCCGAGAAGCTGCCACTGCACATGCTTCATACTGTGGGTAGGCGGGGAAAATACTGAGCATGTGCAGCGATAAGCAATTCAATATATCGGAAAAATACAGAATGACAGGGAGACAATGGGGTAGTAACATGGACAGGGGAGTGGCTGAATGCTTCCTTTCTTTGCTGTAACCAGACTCTGATTTTGAAGTCTGCAATGGAACAATATAAGCCAAGTGGGTGGAATCCTTGCTTTCTGGAGGTTGGTCTCTCCTGAGACCTCTGCCAGTCTCAGGGCAATGTGTCTGTATGTTTCCCTCTGTTGGCAAAAATGAGGTTGCATTCCCCGCGGGGGCTTGAACACAGTTGTGCCACGTCAAACTTCAGTCCCATTCATTGTGTTATTTGAGGTTAAAACACAACAGAGAAAATATCACAGAGATGAACACTTGAACCGTCAGAATACACAAGGCTACAGGCCAAATGTTGGAAATTAAGATGATGAGCCTCTTTCCGTGCTGTAAAAACACAATAACTTGATCATTTTGGAAGAAAAGCTGCTCTCCGGGTTAAAAACAGAGCCAAAAGCTGTGTCAGTAAGAAAATAAGTATGCATTTCCACTGTCATCACTTGTGGTCTAGTCATTGTGATTTGGCGCTCTCACTGCTATGTCCTGGGTTTGATTTGCAGTCAGGGATTCAGGATTTATTTTTCCTGACAGTAACAAAAATCAAACACAGAGCAGTCTCTGACAGGAATCCTTTCAATATCGTGAGCCAATTAATGCCCCAGAGAATGTTGTGGTTAGTTGGCTAGCCAAGCTGGTTTGTTGTTCCGCGGACGTTTCATTACCCTACTGAGTAACATCATCAGTGCAGCCTCCGATGAAGCGCCGTTGTGTTTTCCCCCTGGTTTTTAAACTCTGGAGTCCATTGAGCTGGATTACCTCTTCAGGTTTTTCTTCGCAATGGAGTATGTATGGTGTCAAGTTCTATGCGTTGGGTTTGATTCCAGCCTTGGTCGACTGTCTGTGTGGAGTTTGCACATTCTCCCCGTGTCTGCGCGGGTTTCCTTCAGGTTCTCCAGTTCTTCACATATTCCAAAGATGTGCAGGCTAAGTGAATTGGCTATGCTAAATTGCCCATAGTGTCTAGGTTGGGAAGGGCAGGAATAAGGTAGGGGGTGGGTCTGGGTGGGATGCTCTTCGGAGGGTCAGTGTGGACTCGATGGGCTGAATGGCCTGCTTCCACACTAGAGATTCTATGATGAATATCAAAGTCGATGTCCGAGCCTCTTAAAGACGTGGGAGCTTCCTTGACTGTCTGTGCTCAGTTGGACAATTCACTTTCATTATCCTCTGACTCCGCTTCCAAAAGAATTTCTCAATTTCACAAAGCTGAAACTGGGCTTTTTTTGTTTTGTTTCCTTTTCTTTCCCAGGAGCTGCAGTGATTGGGTCGATGGGTGTGGGAAATTGAACGTGAAGCTTGTGGAACTATTTCAGCTACCCCTCCTGTGATGTTCTTGGTGACATTTACTGATGTGAGACATTGAAAGGATTCACATTTCTGCAGATCAGGAATTCAAAGCTCACCTCGGCTTCAGAGCAATTAGAAATATTGGTTTGAACGTGCAAAGAAATTCTGAACTGCACTTGAGCCAGTTCGGAGCTGAACCTACAATCTGGCCCCGTGTACATGCACTACCTACATGCGGCAGAGTTGTAGTGTTAACAGGGACATGAGCAGCTATGGTAGCATTCACAAGGTGAACAACTAGCAAAGATAATCACTGTCACTGCTTTACTTCAATGGTCCCCACTTTTTGAAACAGTGAGTTTTACTGGCAAAGGAAACATATTTGTCCTCAGGAGGCTGCTTCAGTGTTGCCTCTTTTTCTGCTAGATTCATCCTGAAGTTCCTTTCCTCTGTTCCACAAGCACTTCTGCCTCTCCTCTTCTATTCTCATCCCTTCATTCCCAGTTTGGCAGGAATAACAAGGAGAGGCAGGATAAACTGCAGTCTTAGCGGAGAATGTTGTGGTAATGGCACAGACAGAACAAGCTGATCACCCTCATTCTTTGCTGTTACCGTTCATTCATTTTACACCAACAGTAAAAACATAACTATAATCCTATAATTGTGGTGGCATTGTTTCTTTTTCTGGGGGTTAGGAATTCTGTTTAGAATTCTAATGATTCACAATCTTTTGAGAGAAGAAATGTCTCGTTATCTCAGTCCTAAGTGACAGATACATTATCCGGGGAATGTGAGCCCAGTTCTAGATACTCCAGCCAGGGAATGAAAGACTCTCAGCAGCTCCACTCTCAAATTATCTCTAAATTTCATATTTTACACAGAGCAGAAATGGGAAATGAGGGATATTGACAGAAGGAGAGTCGGAGAATGAGAAAGGGGGCGAGGTGGATACATAGAGACAAAGAGACAAATAGAGACATGAAGTAGACACTGAAAGGACCAATTCTCCATTCGACATGGCCGCTAACTGACAGAAGGAAAAGAAAAAGGCAACCATTTAAGCAGAGCCTTTCACCACCTCGGGGCAATGGAAGCAGCATTAGAGCCGATGAAGTCCCTTTAAAGTTGTAAAGTTGACAGTTGTAAGCTAATGAGAGAGACTGATTTGATAAATACGCTGATTTGACAGATAAAGCCGATAATTTCCCCCGGCATTATAATACAGAAATGCATAACTAACCTGGTTCTGACAAACAGTCACTGGAGCTGAAAAGTTAACTCTGTTTCTCTACACAGATGCTGCCAGACCTGCTGAGTTTCTCTATCAATTCCTGTTTTGGTATCAGATTTCCATAGTACTTTGTTTTATGTTAATAACGTTTGGGACAAA